ACACTTCTGAACGCTACTCTATGTTAAGTAAGTTCTTCTCATAATTGGATACGATCGCATTTACGTAACCGGGTTAGGTTTTGTAACTTGCGTTGCATTACCTTGTCTTGTATTCTTTGTTCTGCTTGCCATAATGTAATAAAGTCGTTATTATCATTATCGAGCTTCTCTGGGATAAACACGTTCGGATGATAGAAGTCAGTTTCGCAATATCGGAGCAATTACAGCTTCGATACATTCGTTAGAGTCGCTGGTTTTCGAACGTTCGCGTTAAAATCGATTTTAAAGTCGAAACCATGTTACAAGATATCGAAGAAGAATAATTAACATTGTTCCGTTCTCTAAAATAAATTTCCTAATAAACGTTCTAAATTATGGCTAAACACGATACATTCTCCAGAATGGAGGATGAAGAATATTGCTCGGAGTAATGAAAAATTAATCAGTTGCACACATAAGAGCGACCTAAGCGGTAACCTCCGACAAAAGAGAAATTACTAAAGTAGAGTAGAAGGAACTGAAACACGGAGATAACTCGATTCTTCGAATCCTTTTACTTCCATCTCGGAGTCTCGTTAAATGGAGAACTCGCGTTGAAAGTTCAAATTGCAGTATCTCTATGATTAAGAAAATACGATCGTACCCGGAGGTCTTTGTGTCCGTCTCGCGATCCCAAAGAATATCATGCAATTCAAACCGAGCACTTATGATCTTTATATAAGCTTCGAGATATAATCGACCTGGAATTAAAACTTAATTATTCAATAATTCCTCACATACTGGTTTATCAATCTTTTACATGAGGTGTCATGGCACTGAAAATACTGAAATCGAAAATCAAGGATAAATTCACCTCGATTATTTCAAGAATTTAAACAACAGAAGTCCATTTTTCTCGAGGAAAAAAGATTAACGCCCTGAATTTTAATTGTGAATATTGACCAGCGACTCCAATTTATTTTCATCATATTTCGACTTGCAAGTTTTTTGTCAAATTTTAAATGCTACAATGTAAATAATGTTTTTAAAGTCGTTCAAAACAGTCTTCATTCCTCTCAGAAGTAATACAATTTTGATTATTTGATTTATATTAATTATAATTGAGTACTGTGTGGAATTTTTTAAAACATTCATTGGGATGCATTCTGGGTTTGTGTTCACAGATCTCACGGTAGAAAACTGTTTGTTTTTTTTACCAGATTGCCTCCTTTTGGTGAACAGACAAGACATTTATTTTTTATTTGTAAACAATTATTGATAACGACCAAAAAATACACTTGGAACGTTAAGGGTTAAATTATCCTTGCAACATATTGTAAATTAATTTATTTTGTTACATTCACTAAACGATAATGTTTGACTATGTAAATCCACATCTGTAGTTCCTTGCATATTACATCTTTGTACTATAGGGTTTGATTAATAAATGAATAATAATAATAAATCGAAGCGTCACGACGCCTAACCTTCGAACGCGTCGACGGTCGTACGCGAGCGCGAACAGGGAAAATTAAATACCGTAGGAAGGGGAATAACACGATTTAACGACGACGGGCACGGCAGCGGGCGAAGGCGTAAAAGTGCACACTGCGGGGAATTACACCGTCGCAGAGAGGAACAGCCTGTTGCACTATCTACGGCCACGGAACACGCAATGGTTGCCCTAGGTCGTGTCTCTCGAACGCGTGTATTCTCGAACGGGATTTCGTAATCGTTCTAACAATACATCGATCGAGCGCCCGAGCGCGCCTAGCAAACAAGAGATCCGTTTCGCGGCAACCAACGAATGCCATCTTGGGTCTCCGCCGTAAAAATGTACACAGAATGCTCGCCAACACTGGGAAAAATTTCAACAGGAGCTCTTGGGGTCAAAACAAGACGAAAATCAAAAATACTTCGTTAAGAAGTTATTAACGTTCAAAGTCACGCAATGGCCCCTAGAATCGCCCATTAATATATTCTAAAATCAAGAAATTTGTATCCTTGATTTTCTGAATCTCCCATTAATATTTTTCCCGGACGCCAGCAAGGAGATAACTCGATGCTTATAATCGCTTTAATGCATAATAATTTTTATCCTTCGAATGCCCATCATCCGTTGTTTACTCGTCCCGTGACGAATCGACTACAGGTTAGCTCCTAGTCGTAATTGGCGTTTGCCTGCAGGTTTGCGCTATCTAGATACTGTGCAGCTTACGTTTTGCACGTAGCCAGACGTTTTTTAGGATTTCGCCTTGAAAAATGTTTGACCACCGAAGTAGCCTCGAAGTAGCCTCCTCGTCCACGTACGCGCGGAGAACCGCGCTTACAACACCATAGACGAGCGTTGCGAATGAATTCCCGTCGACACGCGGCTTCGATTATTTAACCGCGATTTTGCCTCGCTCGCTATCGCAAACAACCTGTTGACTGCGTAATTAAACGCGCGACGCGCCAAAAGCGAACGTGCAATCGTTAACCTTAGAGAATCCGCTTGATATTCCTCGCCCGCATCTCGATCGAACAACCGACACAAATTAAATAATCTTATCTCCACGATTATAAAAAGACTGGTTGCGCCCGATTTATTACGTGCTATTCTTTGTCCCACCTGAAAGTAGTATCGCTCCAAGGACACGCAGACACTTTCACGCACTCCGAATGTAGAACTCGTTGCTCGCGGAACTCGGGAGAGGAAAAGATGACGATCGTGCTCGCGGTTCGTAAACGTAAGAAAATTTTCCCCGTACGGGACATAAATATCTGGAATTACCGGTGCTTCCTGGTTCGTTCGTATTTCTGTCGATTAATTCAGACTCGTACGATCGACTCGATCTGCTCGAAACGATTACTGGATCATCGACTGGAATGCACGATCCTCGCCACCGGATAATATGTACTTTCGAAGTTTTCAACCGTCCCGGTATAATTTAGATATTCTCCGTGTTATCGCGAATTCCTAAGAGGTCTAATTTACGTAAGTGCATATGGACGTCGAGGCGCAGTTAAAAGTACTGTTACAAACCCTAATTTCGGTTATCTGAAGCAATTAAACGTAATTTTTTTACGAATTTGACGTATAAATGGCCATCACTGCGTATCAACGTGCTGATCGCGACACCAGTTTTTCAGTCTAATAAATCAATGAAACGGTCATTTCTGTCACGAACGATCGTACTTGCAATTAGATATTCTTCCGTTATAATTACGTACAACGGTGGAACTAACGACGATAACGAAATACATACAAACGCGTCTAGCAATGGTTCCAAGAACTCGAGCGTGTGCTTGACCTTGATCGATCCGAAGATTCCTGGAACGTATCTCGCGAAGTTATGATCGCGAACGACTATTGCGCGCGACAATTTCCTCCCAAAGGGAGGGCAATTTTCCAATTGATAATCTGATTCAGCTGAATACGGCGCGTTCAACTCGCGATGGAATCAGATCGTTACGATTCGATTTATTTCGCGTTCAATCTCCCTTATTAAGTACTCGAAATATTTCAAACATCGAAGGACCGATAAAATTTCTTCATTACAATCACTAATATAACTTAAATTGTTTACTTTATTCTACATAAAATATATTAACACTAGAACTACCGACAATTATAGTGTGTTTATTTGTACCAAAGAAATTGAAACGATAGATACTCGCAGAAATATATAATGCAATGGAAATAAGGAAATTACAATAAATTTTCAAAAATTCAGTCGAGTAAATTTCTTGCAAGTTTAATTAGAAATTATACGAATGGGTCATTTTGACTGGTTTGGTAGTTCTATATTTCGATCGCTGAGGAGGATCGATGTCGTTGGAGACGGTTCTTTTGCACCAAACAATGGCTCAAATTATCGACCATAGTTCGAATTTCCATCCAGCTGTGCTCGACGTTGTTTCCGTTTGAACGTGGATGGAGGAAAAAAAAGCACGGAAAAAGGTATTTACAGTCGCGGCGAAAGGAAGAAAAGGACTCAGGAAAGGTCGCGCGCCTGCGCGAGCGATACGGGTTCTAGAAAGAGCGCGGCTGTTCGTATATATCCGCGTTCACGGACATATACGGGCTGTTTCCTAAACACGGTTGGTAAAGCAGGCAAGCGTGGACGTCGCGACGCCGACGAGGAAAGAAAACGCGACGATTGAAACGTTCGAGTCGATCCGACGTCGGGATGTCGTTGGAACGACACAATTTTCTAGAATCTTCGCTGCCTCCTCGCGAATGTTCGTCGAGCTTCGACGTTAGGTTTGGTCGTCGCCATAACCCGAATGCCGCGTTCGAAACGGATCGCTGAAGCTTCGAGATCGATACGTTCGAACGAGGGAGACAGCGATGGGAACGATTCGATGACACGCTCATTAATATTGATACGTATCGATTCTCGAGCACCGTGGTATCAAACAGGTACCGTTACAAGTAGTCGTTCGTATCGGGAAGACGTACTTGTTGACATTTCTTGCGATATCGACATAATTCAAACATCGAGTATCGTTGTTGTAACCCCCAACAGACAACAACGCGACTGATACACTATCAGAGCCGGACGTTATTAGACTAACCTCGATCGAACGTAACCACAAATAGCTGCTCGAACAAAACTGTTTTACGTGAAACGATTCACAGGGACGATCAACGTTTGCCCGCGACGTATTCAATGTAGATGTAGGAATAGATTATGCAAAGAATACGGTTATGTGAAAGCTACGTAAATAATTCGTCCCAGCAGATCGGGACTGCCGACTAACGATGAGACAGCTGAGAAGCGATTGTTTTATTTCGAACGACGATTGTAAACAAGTATCGAACTTGTACTCGTATCGGTACGACGGTTGCGTGTCTCGTCGAGTTTCAAACCGTTCGTGATCGTACTTTCGATACAGCGATACGGGAGAACCAATCACCAACGTCGATTCATCGATAATATTCAAACGCGTACGAGCCCCGTCTCTAAAGATAGTTTTCGAAGGCTACCATATGGAGCTGCGAGTGTAAACATCGTGTGTAACGGTCGGGTACTCACATCGTGTAAGAGCCTCTCCTTACTGTCGTCGGGACGCGGTGACACAGCACGTCTCACGAGCGATGATCACCGATGTCCAAGCACGGTTACATGTATCCGATCCGAGCGTTCTCCTGGTCCACTGTTGTGCGGGAGTACGTAGCGCGTACGGTTTTTTACTCTCGCATATGCTGGTCGTCCGGCACCACACGTGACGTTTTCGACCGGCGAACGTGCCCGAGAGCGATAGGGAACAGAGAGAATATCGCGAAATACAGAGCGGCCGTGTGCGTTTACCGGCGGTTGGTCTCGCGCTGGGACCGGGTTGCACTCCGCGAATCCTCACCAACGGGGCCGCGTTTATCGGCGAATACCCTACCCTCCGAAACGGACCACCAGATGAAAAACTTCTCAGCTCGATCGACGAGTATGCTCGCCGCCCGTCGTCGTTGGACGGGCAGACGCGAACGCGATAGCCGCGTACGAGTTTGAATCGAAGTTCCTGGTTCCGATCGATCCCCCGATCCTACGTGTTAATTCACCGTCGTTCTCGTAAACACACAAGCTCACGTGCGGGGAGTACGCAAACGACGACCGTTTTGCCGATCAACGACGAAACCGCGGGTGAAGGAACGGAAAAAAAAAACTTACAGATTACAACGGCGGTTTACACGTCGACGACACAACAAGTCGCCGCGGCGAACCAATTGACACTGACAGCGGCGTTCAACTCGAGCGCGCACGCACTCTACCTGCCCCCACTCCCGTCACCTTCCCTCTTACTGTCGGCCACCTTCTCCCTCTTCCCGCCGCGCGCACCCCACCGACCCCCTCCCGACCCCTCGAACGACCCTGCCGTAAACGTCATCGACGCTGCTCATCCCTCGGACGCTCGACGCGGCCCGTAGCGCTTCCACGCGATCCTGACTCACGCCGAGAGCTCGATTTTGACGTTGCGCCGCGCGCACGTTACGCGAAGCTTTTTCGTTGGCGCGTCGTCGTAACGCCGGCCGGCGGAATGACAGCTTGCGCGATCGTCACCGCGTATTTTTAAGCCCCGCGGATCCTCGCCTCGAATTCGCGCGACGATAATGGAAACGATACGCGCGCTAGCAAAATTCTTCCGTTGCCTCAAATGTCATGCATCGTAGACGCAGCTAAAGGTTATTCTCGCTCGATTTCGTCGATTCTTTCGGTACCAGGGTCTCTCCAAATTGTTTCTGTTCTTGTTGGAATTGTTGAAATTTCTTTATTTATAACCCTTGGCGCTTCGAGAGTCTTTATTAACCAGTTAGCTGTGGCGATCTCTTTGCATAGCGCGCACCAGTGTGTGTCGCGATAATCAAGCTATAGTCGTCAAACACAGAGTATGTGTAATATGAAATGAGGCTGTAATAAGATGACCTTTATTTCTTTTTATGTCATTACTCACTTTAAATTAAATTAAATTAAAAATCAATTTCTTACTATAACTTGCTGTTAGAGAATGGTGTTGAGCAAAGCATGGTACAATGCATAATGAATATATGAATCCGTAATTGCTTCTGTGATGACTAATAAAAGACAACGATACATTTACGAAAACTAATTCGTAATATATGCGGTTTTTTTATATTAATTATTTACAATTTTTATTTGTTTGTTTCATTTCATATTAACCTCTAAATATTTTAAACATATTAAAATTTACGAATATAATTTAGTTTTCGCCAAAATTGCTATTTAAATATCAAATTGTAACAAAATTTTACGCATGACGGATATAGTCGTCAAACACACTTAACTGGTTAATATGGACGACTAGCACTATCGATTGCCATTTTGTAACAATAAAAAATATTCTTCTTTTTACAGAAATATATAAATACCTATAATTTAAATTTTGTTCCTATATTTCCTAAACTCAATCTGTTTTGTCATAAATGAAACTAGAGCTATGTGTACCTCTCATGTTTGTCGCTTTAGTGACGCCAGTGGAGTTCAAAGGGTTAATAAAATATACTGTCGAGAATAAGCATTGCAAACATGTATTTTTAATGAAAGTTTGTATATATTGCACTCAAGCTCAGCAGAAACCCGTCAAGCTAAGAACAGTATTAATTAAATACTCAGGTCGAAACTCTGTTGTATTTATTTAGCAAATAAATATTCAACCTCATACAGTGGGTTCTCGCGTACGTGTGCTGTTATTGGACGATAAGCCGACCACGCGCGTATATTGCTAATATTGTACGATAAAAGATAACATTTCTTTTTTTTTTTTGCGTGATTTGACCGGCGATCGAACGTGACTCAGACTGGTTAGCCTTTCTAGAAAATACGGTTGTTCCTTTTTCCTTGTTCCGCGCGAGTATTCGAACGTAATTCAGTAATTCGCCGAAAGAAAAATTCCATCGCAGCCCTACTTTCAGCGTGCGCGCGGGCAGCAGCACGCGTGCAACGTATTCGCGTTCCAAACTCGAATCAACGTTTTATGAACTGCATAATTCTCATCTGGCCGGCGACTGACGCAACGCTCGCGTAATAACCGCGACGATTTAAGACGATAAAACGACCGAACGCCGACCGGGAGCCCCGATGCGTTTGTTCCACGGCCGTAAAATCGCCGCGACGCCCAATATTTTCCGGTTCACGTCGGTCCCCTTTATCGCTCGTGGCTTCTAGAACCGACTATGGAAGCCTATAACACCTGCAGCAGTCCATAGGCGATCGTTCTCTCACGATCAGCTAAATATTTCCACATCGACGAAACTTTTAAAGAGTTGTCGCCCTACTTTTTCGCGCGGAGAATTTTCTAGTCCGAGTGCTCTATGCAAACGACTCTTAACCGCTATTACACACCATCGTGATGCAAAATATCGCGCACAAAACGTTAATTTTCAAACGAATGTAAAAATTTCTATGTTTTTTCTTTTCCTCGCAACGTTTTGCTAATTTGGGATTGAAAGGGTTAAGAGCCGTTGCTCGACGCTGTTTGCGAGCTGACTCTTCCGGCGTTGAACGGTTCTTCGCGCAGAAATCCATTCCGGGGTGCACGCGGAAAAAGGAAGACGGTAATTAACGCAATTAAGACGCAACGTGGCAGACAGGCGCCCCGCGTGTACAGCGAGACGCACACGCGGACCCAACAACGTTTACAACGGCGAATTAAATTCTACACGCGAGAGACGAGCGTACCTAGCTTGTGCGTTTTCCGTGGCGTGTGCATAATCTTTTCATAATATTCGCGCGCGATAAACGTTAACGGTGCCCGTTGCACGCGTTTATTAAGCCCGAGCCTACGCATTCCACGCAAATTTTCTGTCGCGTAAAAAACTACGGCGAATGTAAATAGCCGTAGATTTTAATTGGCCGGATCGGGAAACGAGAAAAATCGACCGGTGGTTAAATTAAACGGTACGCGTGTTACGACTGCTGATACGGTTGAGTGAAACTTTGCTTTTAAGAAAATGGGGAACACATGTGTGTACCCGAATATCGATCATTTTGTTTACGATATTTGTACGATATGATGCAAATGATTTCCAACGATGCGTTTTTTATTTTGATAAGGGTACTTAGGGGGTGAAATAGTGGTTGCTAGTATCGCGTAGTGGGTGAAGGGTTAACTTCGAGCGGACGTTGGCTTTCATAAATTTATTGTTGGAACGGAGCACTCGACGGACAATCGTCCGGTGGATGGCAGAAAAATACTTCGACTGAGTTTCAAAGCCATTTTTAGGTCAAGCAGTTATTGCAGGTTACTGACTCTGGTCGTTACTTTCGCGTCATAGTGTTGGTCGAGCTTTTGCATACGTAGAAGCCGTGGTTTATCTATTCTTGGTTCTCGTCGTCAATACTAGCAGAGACATAAGATTTCGCGAGTTTCCCACACGACTATACAGGATGTTTCGTAATTTGTAATAAAATCCATCGATTCCTCGTGAAGGGACACGTCGAACGGGAAGAACAAAATTTTGTCGTACGAAGCATCGTATTCGAGAAAATCGAGTTTAAATTCTGTAAAATCTTAAACGTATATTTGAGAGATTTGAAGGGAGAGATATCGAAAGATTTCTTCTTTTTATATTTAGGAAACTACTATTTTGAAGGGGTGATTTTAACCCCACCGTCTTATGCTATACTATACTATAAAAATAGTTTTACATTATGATTGAGCTATTCTATTTGCCCAGAGTGATAAAAAATTCTCTGAATATTCAGAATCGCGAACATTTTATGCCAGTGTGACTTTGTCTTGCCTGTCTGTCCATTGCTAGTTATTTCTACTTCTTCTACCGCCACTTCGAGTAAAATACTAAAATTCCTAGCACTGTAAGGATTCTGTGCAATTTGGAGACGCAAAAAACTTGATTTTCTTCTTTTTATAGTTCATATGAAGTAAGCGTCTCTTTATCGTTCGAGACGCGCGATATTTTCCGAGACACCCTAATATTGGATCGGTTACATTTCATCCGATATGGGTTACTCTTGGCGGCCATTAAAATGCCGCGATCCATCGTCCACTTTTTCCTCCATAAACTTCCAACTGTCATTCGGTCGTTAAGCGTATTCAGGTTCCCGTTGCGGGGCTACAAAAACTGACTCCTTAATTGGAACAACCGCGAGCTTACAACATTCCGAACGGCGGCCAGTTTCCCGCGGGAAGGTCACTTCCCCGGCCTCATTTGAATTTTCAATTGGCGGCTCGATTAGCCCTAAGATATCGTATTTATCTCCGCGACCGTTGCTGCCCGGGCAACGGGCACAGGTGTGCTCGGGGTTCGACGCCGAACGCGTAAATTTCTCGCGAAACTGGTTGTTTCAGCGAAGAAGTCGTCCATTCTGTGATAATCGACACCGTCCTTCCAATTAATGGGGGGGAAAAAAATCAAAATGCATCCAGCGAACGAACGCGTCTTCGATCCATTAACGACGCAACGATAATTCGGCTTTTAAGGAGATCTGGTTCAGTATCTTCGAAAGTAATGCTCTTCTAACAGAATCTATTACCAGAAACGTATTTTGCACCTGGAGACTTATACTGGATCGAACCTTAGTTTATATAGAATTAATAGAATATTGATTTCTCCGTTACGAGTCATAATTGTGTCAGGAATTAAAGTAAAAGTAAGCTGCACGAAGAATAAAATTGAGAATAATTCATACTAAAATACAGTATACATATACCCAGTAGATCTACGCCGTTCCAACAAGTGTCAAACGTCCCACCCCGGGCAACGAATGTAATGAATTCATAATACTATGTATCCACACCTCCGAACGGAAAGGGAAATAAATTATTCATGGCACACTTACTGCAAGTACCGAAAACACACGAACATCTGTTAAAAAGAAAATCCCTTTCCAGCCACGGTTCCTTTACATCCGTTTATAGAACGAGACGCGACGGGAAGGGGGTAACGGGTAGAGAGTGAAAAGAATGGAAAATCGTACGACGACGGAGAATCCTCGATGAAAACAACGGCAATATGCTGCGAAGGCGGCGAACGCAGCGCGATAGGCAACGAAAGAGCAACGAATGGCGGTGCATCGTGCTCGGGAGCACGAGCGAAGTGAAGGTGTCGATGACGTAATATGCGGCAACCACGATACGCGGCAACGAAGTGGAGGGGGGGACGGTTGCTCGTGACGGTAAAGGTGGCACGCGGCGGCGGAGGGGGGCGTCGTGTCACATGGGACGGCGGGGGT